TTGATTAAAATTAATCTAGGAATGGTATTTGTTATACCACTTCAAATCACTAACCGCAAAGGACATTTATGTTTCTGCCTGGAATCCCCTTTTCCAATTATTTTGACTATATAGAGATTTAGCCCCATCATTTAGGTAACAAACTTTGTTCACCTTCTTACACTTTACCTATTGTTAATCAAATCTATTGATGTCTTACTTTCAAAATTCAGTGAAAACAAATTTTAATTACAGCCTATTTAAAAGCCTACAAATATGAAAGGTGATTTTTTTTTAACAGTTAAGCAGGTGTTGGATGAGTTTTTATAACTAAGCAATCTTTGTAAACGAGCTCCTATTTTTGCATCTTCCCAAAAGTAGACCTCCTACTGTGGAAGTGTGTTTTGTTTATTTTTACAGTGAGCATAAGACAAAAGCCAAAAAGTGTTGTTTTACTCTACATTACATCCTGATCAACCCAGTAACTGCCCATTTTAGGACCCATATGCTGTTAATAATGCCTGCACTAACAGAAGAATGTCTGCATTTAGAAAATTCTCCACTCAGACAAATTTGTTCAGAGGCCTAAGGAAAAGCTCTTCTAAAAATATCACCTACCAACAGAATGTGTGTTATCTATAACCATGCATAAAAACTGAAGTGCACAAATAAAGCAGAAATCCATGTAAAATGACTTGTCCTTTTACAAGAGTATAATGTTGTGATTTTAGAGCTTTCAATAACAACCTGGAGGAAGCAAAAGACTTGAAGCTGGAACTCCTCAGTTCTAATCCTACCTATGTCAACTGGGAAACTTCACTTCTTATGTGCCTCATTTTTCACCAAAAAGCAGCAGAAAGCATAGGGTTCTTTTAAAGATCCAACAGTTAATATCTGTAAAACAACCGACAGAGACAAAGCACTTTAATCAGAGCTAAATACAGTCAACTCCACTTCCACACCTGCTTAACTGAACAACAAAGAAAAGGTACTTTGCCTACTGCTTACATTATAACAAATATCAATTATTTGTATGTCAGTTGAGTACATAAAATGTTTGCGTGCAAAGCTTTTTTCAGTCCCACTCTCTACTTTATAATTGCACTCCAGTTGACTGAATAATAATTTGTGCATAATAACAATAAATGATGGAAGAGAAGCAAATGTCAAAGGGCTGCTATTAGAGGCCTCAAAATGATGGGAAGTAATCAGTTTAAGGGATGCCAGCAGTACTGCACTCACAATTAAAATGTTATTTTCTCAAAGTAAGAAACATTCATTTAGTTCAGATACATGCATATTTCAGTCTTAAAGCTACACACTTACTACACCATAGTCTGTTTATAACTAAGTCCAGCAGGTACAGGTCTAGTCAAAATAGAGATCTGGGTGAAAGGAGGACTCATATTGGTAATCTTTTCAGCACCATTCTGCTCTTCCTCCAGACCACAAGGGAGCCCCTAATAAGGGCTGAGACAAGGAACACTTATAGATGGGAAGAGACTGTAAGATCGGTACATGTCAACTATTATGGACTGTTCGGAATTTATTTTTGGACTAATCAGTCCCAGACAGTATAACCTTTCCCAGACACCGTTAATGCTGCCAAGGACTTCAGAGTGTGTACCTGCTGAGGGTAGAAGGGAGGTGGTGGTGGTGGTGGTGGTGGAAAGACCCAGGAGTAAGAGAAAAAGACAATCTTAGCGAGTAAATTTTTACTGTAATTTCTCTACCCAAGTTTCCAGTAAGAGGTTCTGAAAGGATCATTGTAGCAAACTAGTAATGTTACGCTCAACACTTGCTAAAAGAAGGAGTCAGAACAGGGTTTGGGAGAATCCAGGGACCAGTCGTGTTAGCTGAGTTGTTCTCTGAATATTATTACACCATGCCACAAAAAAAATAGCAGTGATGTGTACACTGGGTAGATGTAAATCTGTAATAAGTATAGGTTCTGAACATTCGAATGCTTAACTGTGTGACTATTCAATAGAACAATTAATGTACAGATATTTACAGGTCGAGACTTTAAAGAATTTTTCATTTATGAAAATTATTCCATTTGTAATTGAAGTATGTGTACATTTCATGATAAGAAACAGTTGCAACAGAATGCTGAGGTCTTGTTACATGAGCTTAATCTAATTTAGAGGCAGAAAGTTAAAGTTTGACCATAAATCAGAAGCAGACAGACACTGTTCTTCTGTATTTTATTACTCAAATTATTTATAAGATGTATGGACTTTAAAAATCAAAGTACTCTTTAAAATACTATTTCTATTTATTAAACTATCAAACTCACATGGACTGGAGTACTCAGCATCTCACAAAATAGATTGAAAAATGTAAGTACCTTGTAATTAGGAAGTTGTTCATAACTATTCAAAACCCTAATCCTTAGGGTTGTAATGAATGCATTACAAATACAACACTTGCACATTATTCATAATTGTATACAGCCTTACACTGATAATGTATTTTAAAGATGTGGTGCTTTAAAGCCACAGCATGCAAGTAACTGTTCATGTAATTTTTTCTCATTAAGCTCACTAGGACTGCAAGTCATGAGTAAAAATTACTTATATTTTAAGACATTGAAAGAGCCCTGGCTTATCCATGAAGCTTATCATCAAAACCCTCTTTGGGGCAGGAAAGGTCCTTTCATTGCCCATTTGTACAATCCCTAGTCAGGAATCTGCAGTGCTGAATTCCAGTAATATTTGAATGCCCAACACAGTAAACAAAAAATTCCCAAACATACCAGAGATGAGCTCCATGTTTGGATGCATCAGAAAGAAAAAGCTTCAGTGCTTAATTCCAGAACCATGGTTGGGTTCAATCTATATTATTTCACATGAAAAACAGTTTGGGTTGTAGGGGACGTGTCCAGACGAGTGCACATGTGCAGCATGAGGCACTGCAGACCTACCTGTGGTGCTGCACACCACATACGCCACACATGCAGGTGTTCCCCATGCTGCCACTTTGGAGCAAGGGTTTTTTTATGACCCTGGGAGATCCCAGGGTAAAAAAACCGTGCATTAAGGATGGGGGTGCACATGGCGGAAGGGTATGCTGCCAGAAATTGGAGACTGGCTGGCTAGAGACACACTCTGGCCGCCGCCAGGCTCCCTGCTGCCGCATCACTGCCACTGAAGCCCCAGAAAGCCCCCAGACCTCCAGGTAAGATTGCTGGAGTCAGCCCAGGTGCTGGCCCCAGCCTCCGCTACTCCACCTGGGCAACATGCCACACACCAGAGTACATGGAAATTCCCTGGGGACAAGAGGCAGTGGCACAACTATATGCTCCTGCTGTTTGTCACCAGGGACATGCACATGCACATGCACGCTTGTATGGATGCACCCTAGAAGTTTGAGTAAGAAATTCTGGTTTAGTCTTAAAGTCTAATCCAACTATGACAGAGTCAGTGGAAAAATCTCCACTGATTTCTAGTTCCTACTGACTGAGAGCTTTTCTAACAATTAAGGGAATTTAATCAGTCCTACATAAAAGCAGTGACCAACTGTACTGCAAAGACAAATGGTGTTAGCCTGAAGTCAGACAGAAGGCAGGGCAGGGTTATATTTTAGAGACCAACTTGTTCAGGGATAAGCTTTCATAAGTGACAGTCTAACTCTGTCAGATACTACAAAATGTTTCATACAGGAACAGGTTTTTTCATGTTTCATAGCATCTGAAGAAGTAAGCTGTTATTTATGAATGCTTATGCCTCTCTGAACAAGATGGGTACCACCCTGCCCAGCTGTATAACAGCTGAAGGCTGAAGAGTGATTTCTGTTTGAAGAATGATTCGAAGTACTTTAAAATCCACATGCTCAGATTGTCTTCCCATTTCCTTCATCCTACAGATGTGCACAATACTGTTAAGGGTCCAGTTTGGGTCAATATTTGAACAAGTATTCCCAAAATAGACCCTCCCGCCAAATAAAGCATTTCATAGAAGTCAATGGGCTAACATTTTGCAAGCAGCTCAAGCTCCAATTTTGGTTCTATCATCTTCTATCTGATACAAGTTGTAACATTTTTAGTTAGTGCTTGATCCACTATTTCTCAGAGAAAGCAATATTTTAAAAAATTAGAGGAGGAGTTTGGCAAGTGCTCTTCTGGACAGTCAAAGGAACTGAAGACAGATGGAGAAGCCTCAGCAAGATTTGTAGTTTTCCTAGTATTGTGAGTTAACTTTCACATTAGTCTGCCCAGGAGTAATTTAATTTGAACAACACAGGGTGCATCTGCAGATGCAATTACCACGCTTGAATTTTCTGCGCAGAAAACTTAGGTGTATTAGGGCATGTGTCTAGGTGTGCACCCACATCGAAAGCAAACTGAGCCTGACAGGAACAACCTAAGCCCAGGGTTGCTCCTGCCATGTTCTGCCCCACTGCAGCAGCCAGGAGGAGCTCCAGGCTCCTCTGGGTGCCAGCCCTGGGCTGGCAGGGGACTCTGGGGAGAGTTCTGGGCTGGCAGGCAGCACGGGGATCAGGTCTGGGCTCCAAGGGGTGGGGGAAGGGAAGGAGCTGTCCCTGCTCTCTGGTCAGCTTCCTCCCAGCTGTGCAGAGATTGGAGCAGAGACAGGAGATGCCCCTGGAGCCAGGATGAGTGGCCCGCCCCCCTGAGGCTTGAGGCTTAGCCAGGCAGCAGCTGTGGCCCCCCCTGTCTGGGCTGACCCAGTCAGCATCTATACATGTGCTTTGGTGCATTAGTTTAAAACGTCATTTTCTACCATCTGTTTCTGTATTTGTGGGTACTAGCAAATGACACTTTCAGTTAATCTACTGCGCAGTAATTGCTGTGCACATGTAGCTGGCAATGCTTTACTGTACATTAGATTAGTCTAATGCGCAGTAAAACATCTCATGTAGATGTGCCCACAGTATATAGAGTGTAGCATTTCAAACTCTGAGCAAGATAATTATATTTGAAAACACCACGACTAATTTTTGTTGTAATCCTTTTTAAAGAAAAAAAGAAGCACATGTTCTAACCATGCAGATTGTATTACCTGGTGTATTGGCATGCTCTGATGATGACTGGATACTCTTAGAATCCCTCTGTCCTGTGTCGGAGGCTGGATTCCTTAGAGCTGTCTTTTGTTCCTCACTTGGAACACGGCTATGGGAAGAAGTGGAGGGAACAGCAGGAAAGAGCTTCTTCAGTACTTTCGCTATGAAGACTGTGGAATAATAAAGACAGTTTAAACAGGTAAACTACTTAAGTCTCTATTTTTATACTTCCTTTTCACCCTCTGATTAATAAGGGGCACTTCTCTTTCATCCCACTAACACCGCAAGTCACCATTTTTCAGGGACAGCTAACATGGGCAATCAAGTTGAAATAGATGTACTGGGAAACAACTTGACTCAAGAGAGTAGGTATAACACTTGTCATCAGCAACAGGGTTTGAACCCAGAACAGAGAGAATGAAAAACCACATGCACACACACTCTGCTTGAGTGAAAGTTATTTGGCAGTAGAGGAAGCAGCTGTCGTGTCCTGCTTATATTATGACACAAGGCATTTTTACAAGCATCCTACACCAGATTTTTATGACTGCTTAAAATTCAGGTTTCTTATCTGGCACAGAGACATTTCCATTGAGCCACTGATTAAAATCAATAAACTACAAACATTTAATCATTTTAAAGTAACATGGACAGTGCCAACAGCATATGCCAACTTAATACTATAAAAGAGACAGTATTCTCACATGACTCTTCATTTCCTACCATCCCATACCTGCAAGCTGATATCATCATGGTTACTTTTGTACCACACATACCTTTTCCCAAAAAATTATCCATCCAAAATTGGGATGCATGGGTTGGATGTGGAAGCTGATTTACACTCTAGAACACATACATGGGGACACTAATGGCTGCAGGGGGCTGTGCTGTCCTGCCTTGCCTTCCCAGGCACATGGAGAAAGAGTAGAGTCTGCTGCTCAGGTCACTTGCTCTCTCCTTGCAAACTTCCAGTTAATATCTGCTGCTAATTCAGGAGTGGCTGTGACAAGGGTAAAGCTGCAGAGTTTGCAAGGAGGGTGAGCGATGCATGCACCCAGAAGCATTCAACTATAGTTGGCCCATGTTGTGGCAAGGAAGACTGAAAAATATTTTCTCCATTCTGCCTTTCCAAAACAAGGTGTGCAACTTATTTGGTAAGATTTGTTGTATGTGGGAAAATATGGTGGTTACTGACATGGTAGGATTACCAATTTTAAAACGTTACATACAAATATATGAACTAGAGCCAAGATTGTCATCTTCCTCATGTGATGCCTGGGTATTCTGTCCACTTTAAGATAAATTTTGTTTTTAACACAGGATGTTGTTATCTGTTTAAGAACCTCTCAGATTCTGCTGTTCTACATAGTCAAACATAGACATTACAAAGCAAAAGGGGAAGAGATTTGGGGAAAAAGATCTAATCTTTAGATTTGACAAGAAAGGACATGTATACTGTGTATGGTAGCCTGCTGTGGATTCTTACAAAAATAACATTGCTACAGAAAGGTCAGTCAAGTGTAACTAAACGTAAGGAAGTTTCCATTATAAAACAGTTTCCTAATACTACAACCTCCAAGCTTGACAGGTATGGCTGGAAACGGCTTTGAAATTTGTGAAAATACTTGCTCCTTTAATACCATTTATAAAACTTTTTAAAAAGCCTTTACACTGAATCACTCGTGACAACTATTTTCTTGAAGAAGCAGGTCTGCATATGGTGAAAGTGGAGGCCCTTAAGTCAATGAGTTATTTTAAAAGCAAAATTCTGAAAATGGTGAACATGGAAACATTTGGGTATATGTGACAGGTTGCGGTGCCTTGTTCAGGTGTAGGGATTTCCTCCATTCTATGATGTATTCATGACTAGAACAAGCCAAGTATTTAAAATTGTTTAACCTTCAATATTAAGGCTTTTCAGTGGGGGTTTTCATAAAATCATAAAGAAGTAGGGCTGGAAGGGACTTCAGAGGTTATCTAGTCCAACTCCATGCCTGCACTGAGGCAACATCATCCCTATCCAAACAAATCCTATACAATCCATAATCTGATCTCCACATAACACCATCATCAAACTTGGCACAACAAAAGTTAAACATGCACACATCAAGAGATGGAAGTAAGCCTTAGAATTGCTACTTCATGCTGGGTGCTTTTAAAGAGAAATTTAGAAACACATAAACCTCAAAAAGGATCCAAGCCAAATACAATAAAAAGATGCTGATGGATAATTCATCTAGGTAGAAGGAAGTACAGATCACTGTATACTACATAAATATATCCAGAATTTCTTCATGGCAGGAAAGCAAAAGACAAGGTTCTGCCAACAAATACAGTATTTCTCACCACTCTCAAGTTCACCAACTTCTTGTGTTTACAAGTACTAATGATATTAGCTGTAAGCAGAGTGCTGACAAAGAATGGGAAAGGAACTGATCAGCAAGAAAAGCCATGTCGTGAAGGTCATAAAATAGAAGAATAAATTAAGCATAGCTCAGGCACTAAAACAAATCCTTTGCCTCAGTTTGCAGTAAGGATGATGATGGTGGGCATACAGCACAAGACAATACCAAATAGTACATGGAAATTTAAAACAAAAGAATTAAAAGACAAGGAGGTAAATTAAAAGTGAGATAAAATATGCCCCGGCAAATCACTGCAAACTGGCCTGATACCTTTGATGGCATAAAGCTGTTCAGACAAGAGAAGCAGGGGAGGAGGAGAGACAGGGGGAGGGCATATATCTGACTCTGGGCATCAGAAAAGCATTTGTTAAGGTGGCACATGGGAAATTGGCTAAGATAGACTCAATGGAGACAACAGATCCTCTGTCAGAGTAACCTACTAGGATAGAAGGGAACAAACTGACTGTAGATTCACTTTTGCCCAAATGTGCAGGAGGAAAACAACTCAACATGTCTTTGAACAACCTGATTTCTGCTGGTCTGTTTATATAGGACATAGATACAAGGCTATCTCCTAGAGTGAATAATTGCAAAGATCTAGGCATAGAAATAGAAAAATAAGACCATATTTGTCGCCTTGAGTACCTTCCACTTTGCTTTCTTGTTTGGATCAGAACCTGAGAAAATCCCTTGACCTCTTGTGAGTACTCCAGCCTTCCAGGCTTGTGTCTGTAATAATACCTGTCTTGATAGCCTCACCTATTGGGAAGATTGCCTTGAACCTGTTTAGACACTTCCATCATCTAGATGACCCCAAACCCTCCAAAGAAGTGGGATCCCTTTCCTGTGGGAGATGAAAGAGCTCTGTCACTCCAATAAGAACCTGCATCTTGTCTTTTTTGCAATTAGCAATTAGCACTTTGTAAATGATAGTGTTTTCCAATCTTTGGATAGGCAGTGCATGGTGATTAAATTAAGTGACTTCTGTAAACTTGTAGCTCTACCACATCCTTATCAAATGGACAAATGGACAAGCCTTGGATAAGGAAGTTCAAGACAACTGTCTTCCTGTCCAAGACCTACCATTGACTCTATAAGCATGTAGTTTGTTCAGATGGTGCTATTGCTCAACTAACTACCTTTATGGATTGGTTGTCCTTCCCAGTCAGAGCCTAGAGAAAATGTCGGAAAAATGCTTTGATATATTGATACAGAAATACAATGCAGTCTGCTTGTTTATGGCAGTAAGCATGGATTTTTAATGGTCTGCATCTTGAATACTGATTCCTGCATTAGCTGCCCAACAGTATCTATTTACATGTATGTTCTTAATCAGCAGTGAAAGCAAGGCAACATGGACCTGTCAAGAGCAAACCAGGCCCCACCTTCTCCCCACCCCTCCATCCAGCTGGCCTGTGCAGCCTGCAGAGAGGTGCCACTGCCTTCACCCCGCCCCTCTGCCCCTGCTCCTGGGAGGTGGTAGCACAGGGTGGTGGGTGGCAGTACTCTGTCCCCACCTGCCCGCATGTATGCCCTAGGACTGTCTCAAGTACCACCTCGGTCTAGAAGAAACTGCTATAAAGTGGGTGCATAACTGGCTGGATACTTGAGTTATAAGAGGAGCCATCAATAGTTCAATGTCAAAGTGGGAAAAGGTATCAAGTGGAGTTGCCAAACTAAGTCTATCCTAGGTTTAGTACTGTTCAGTACATTCATTAGTGATTTGGGAGGACATAATGGATTATACATTTAATAAACTTTAGGATGGCATCAAGGGGGTGGGGTAACAGATGCTAAACAACATGGTTAGAATTCAAAATGACCTTTATAAAATTAGAAAATGGTACAAAATAAATAGGGGGAACAAGTGCAAAGTAGTACACTCTAAAAGAAACATCAAGTACACAAAAAATAACTAACTGGTTAGGCTGCAGTATCATACAAAAGGACCTAGAAATTACACTGGATTGCAATTTGAATGAGTCAGTAAGAGTACAATATGGTCCAAAAAGAGACTGGAATATATTAACAGAAGGCATAAATACAAGTCTGGGGAAGTGATTTTTCAGCTCTATTCAGAATTGGTGAGGTGATACCTAGAGTACTGAGTCCAATTTTGGGCACCATACTTCAAGAAATTAGATTAGAATTAAATATCAGAAAGAGTCCAGAAGAGAGCAAGAAATTATACGTAAACTAGAAAATGCCAGGATTAAAGGTTGTAAGAATTAGGATTATTTAATCTAGAAAAGAGAAATCTGTCTAATAAGTCTTCAAATACAAAAATGGTGGGTATAAAGAGGGATGGCAATAAATTGTTCTGTGTCTACCCAGGACAATAATTAATGGGCTCAAATTGTAACACGGGAGATTTAGTTTGGATATTAGGAAAGCTTTTTATCTATGAGAGTGATTAAGCATTGGAACACATTACCTAGAACATGGCCAACCTGTGGCACTGGCACACACCAGACTCGGGAGGAGACAAGCAGCACAGTGGCAGATAGGGGAGGAAGAAGAAGGCAGAGCAGCAGATGGGACAGGGAGCACAGGGAAGGAAGCAGAAAACAGAACAGCAGGTTAGGCAGGGGAAGGAGAACAGAGTAGCACTCAGGGAGGGTGCAGGGCTAATTTGCAGTACACCTGCCAGGAAGGTTAGGCCCCACTGACCAGAGCAGGGGTGTCAAGTCGCCTGTGGGCTACACCCAGCCCACAAAGCCCTATCATCTGACCTGAGAAGCCCTATCATCCAGACTGCAGTGCTG